CCCCTGCGCGGCCCCCGCAGCGCTGCGCCCAACCCAGTCCCGCTCCCAGCAGCCGCCGAGCCGCGGACGCAGGACCTGAGGCTAGCTCCATCGGGCGCGCTTGTTTTCCTGCCGTCACCGCCGCCTCGCCCTGCGCAGCCCCCGCCCGCCCGTCCGTCCGCAGCGCTCCGCTCAGCCCCGCCCGCCCGCCATCCGTGCCCAGCGCTAGATTTATGAATGGGGGGAAGAGGCCACATGCCGCCGCCGCCGCCGCTTCATGTTGACCGCACGCAGGTCGGGTCCGCGGAGCTCCCGCTGCGGTGAGAGCGTCGCCCCAGCTCTGGCAACCGTTCCGAAGACTTGTTGCTGCTGCGCTGCTGCTGCCGCGGAGAAGCCGGAAGCTCCGGGAGCTCGGTGCTGTCTGGGAGCCGGAGGGTGGCCGGTGTGAGTGTGAGCGCGCGCGCGTCCCAGCCCCTTGCAGTGCTCCTGGACTGTGCGCTTCCTCGTCTTTTGGGGGGGCGGAGGGGGGCGTGTCCCGGTCCTGAACGTCTGTGTGCCCAGTCCTCACGGGGGAGAGTGTGTGTGCTTGACCCTATTTCCCCGGGCCCCTCACTTGGGTCCTCGACGCTGTCAGCCCAGATCCCAACCACCTGTGAACCTGAGAAACCCAACTCCTCCCGCTCTGCGCCCCGGGGGGGCGGGGGTGAGGCAGGGGCAGGGCCTCGCCGCAGAGGGGGCCGCCGCCGCCTCCTGCCTCCTCCTCATCTCTTCCCCCTCCCCTGTCTGACGCTGCCTCCTCGGGAAGGGTGTTTGGAGGGCAGCGGCCGCCCCAAGCCGGAGCCCCGCAGCGCTTCTTATGATCAGCTCGGTGTGCGTCTCCTCCTACCGCGGGCGCAAGTCAGGGAACAAGCCTCCGTCCAAAACATGTCTGAAGGAAGAGATGGCCAAGGGCGAGGCGTCGGAGAAGATCATCATCAACGTGGGCGGCACGCGACATGAGACCTACCGCAGCACTCTGCGCACTCTACCGGGCACCCGCCTCGCCTGGCTGGCCGATCCTGACAGCGGAGGCCGACCCGAATCTGATGGCGGCGGCGCGGGCAGCAGTGGCAGCAACAGCGGGGGCTGCGAGTTCTTCTTCGACCGGCACCCAGGCGTCTTCGCCTACGTGCTCAACTACTACCGCACAGGCAAGCTGCACTGCCCGGCTGACGTGTGCGGGCCGCTCTTCGAGGAGGAGCTTACCTTCTGGGGCATCGACGAGACCGACGTGGAACCCTGCTGCTGGATGACTTACCGGCAGCACCGCGACGCCGAAGAAGCGCTCGACATCTTTGAGAGCCCCGACGGAGGCGGCGGCGGCGCGGGGCCCAGCGACGAGGCCGGCGACGATGAGCGGGAGCTGGCCCTGCAGCGTCTGGGCCCCCACGAGGGCGGTGCAGGTCCTGGGGCCGGGATTGCCGGCTGTCGTGGCTGGCAGCCCCGCATGTGGGCGCTCTTCGAAGATCCTTACTCATCCCGGGCGGCCAGGGTAAGTGGCAAGATCCCGGGTCTGTGAGGGCCCATGGTGGTTATGATGGGTAGGGACAGGAAAGAGGGGGAACCCAAACTGACTTATCCTGGTGGGTGTTTCTCCTCCTTTCCTTCTCCCAAGTCACCTCCACTTACAAGGGCCCTCTGGGGATTTACACACTCCCACCCTCTCCCAGCACACTTCATCAGGAGATTGCATACACTTACTACTTGGATCTAATCCCAGCTGTCTCCTTTGCAGCATCCCCTTCCAGAGAGTGGGGTGCTCTTAGCTCAGCTCTTCCACCCCCTTCTCTGGTCTTTTCTGGTCTGCACAGGCCACCCATCTTCAGCTATCCCCCACTCCACAGGGCCTCAGGATTGGGGAACTGGGATGAGGTCTTCTGCTGGGGTCATACAGGGTTTAAGAAAACTCCTGCTCTGTGGCAGGCGTTGTGCTGAATGCTTCCATACGTGCTACCTATTTTCAGTCCTCTCAGCAGCAGCTCAACATGCTAGGAACTGTCAGTTTTAGAGGAGGGGACGCAGGCTTTCAGCCTTTTTGGCTCCTGAGAAACAGAGCTGGTATGGACCAGAACTCGGCCTCTGATCCAGGTTTAGGAAAGACTTTCTTTCTTCCAGAGTGGTAAGTCAAGAGGCATGTCCCATGCCATGTCCCCAAGGGACACACCTACCAGGGACCTGGCTTTTCTGGAGTGAGGAGAAAGATGGGAAGAAGCTAATGTTCTGGGCCCTTCAAGCTCCCACAGCTAGTGGTGATGATACCAGATTCATTGCTGCTGCTTTTCTTACTGCTGCAGCACAAATCGGTTTCCCAGAAAACCCTGGTTCAGGTTACTGCTTGAAATGGGTGTATGAACGGTTAATTTAGGCAAATCTATCTGGTGGTGGTAGTGGTTGTGTGCCCTTGAGTAATTTCCAACTCATAGAGACCCCATTAGGGTTTCCAAGGCTGTAAATCTCTTTGGGAGCAGAAAGCCTCATCTTTCTCCCATGGAACGACTCATAGTTTCGAACTGCTGACCTTTCAGTTAGCAGCCCAAGTCTTAATTCACTATGCTACCAGGGCGCCTTCAAATCAATCCAGTTTCCTTTAATCCTGGTGGGAGAGAGAATTCACTTCACTCTCCCCATTATATTTGGGCAGCTTAAAAACAAACAAAAAACCCTAAAGGATAGCTTTACCAAAACAACAACAAAAACAATTGCTGTAAAGTGGATTCCTTCTCCTGGCTGTATATATGTTGTTAAGTGCAGTTGAGTCAGTTTTGACTTGTAGCAACCCTATTGTAGGGTTTCTGAGGGGCTGCTAGTGAGTTTGAACCAGGGTTTTATCCCACAGCGCCACACCAGCGCCACACTCATTGCATTAGAGTCTTCAAAAAGAAAGCTTTGGGAACTAGTGTTTGATCTTATGGCTAGCATCATGTGGCCTGGCTGGGGTCTGTCTGGGAGATGGGAAAGAACAACATGATTTGTTGGAACTGGACTGCTTCCTGGTGTGGACACCAATAGTCACTTCTAGTGTCTCAGGTTGTTGTATTAATGAGTCTCAGAGCCCTGCCACCTTCCCCAGCATCTCTTGTGCTGGGCCTCAACCTGCCCTGGAAGGAAAAGTTCCATTCCCCACCCAGGGGACAGGAGGAGATTGAGGGACAGGGCTGGTCTCCATGCTAGAACAAAGCAGATGCCTCTTGCCTTGGGAGATAAGGGAGGCCATGGCACTCCAGAGCAGCCCCTGGAAGGCAGGGGCCTTATTCAGGACTGAGTCTGACAGCTGGCTCAGCTGTCTTTGCTTCTTTCTTTAATGTCCCCAGCCTGGGTCTGGGTCTGCTGGATGCCTTGGGCTTCGTGTACACTAAAAGAACCTGCTAGTGTCAGAGAAGACAAGCACCAACAGTCCAGATTCTTGGAAAACTAGGAGGTGGGGGGTGGCATATTTCTCTCAGTAGAGATGAGAAAAGCAAGCAAGCCAGGGAAGCAGACATGAGATGCGGTAGTTAGGGGAGCCAGACACTGTTTCTGAGCCTTCTGAGATCTCTGGAGGCTTTTCACCTGTTCAGATTCTTCCCTCTGGAATTCCAGGGGACTGGTACCATCAGTGAGTTCATTTTCTTCTCAGTTCACAGCAGTGTGGTCCAGCCAAGGGGCTAGGTGAGGAAGCTCAGAGCCTGGTCTGCCCTCTTGAAACCCTCTAAGAAGCTAAGATGTTGTTGTCATTATTAGGTGCTATTGAGTTGATTTTTATTTTTTTTTAACTTATAGTGACCCCATGTGACACACTAGGACTGCTCCGTAACGTTTTTCTTGGCTGTGTAATCTTTACCAGAGCAGATCACTAGGTCTTTACACTGTTGGAGCCACTGGGTGCGTTCGAATAGTCAACCTTTTGATTAACAACTGAACACTTAAACCGTTGTACCACCAGGGCTTATTGGAACCAAAGAAAAAAGAAAATTCCCTTTTTGATGTGGAATCATATTAGCGAGGGCTTTCCAGTTGATACCTGAAATTTGGAGCAAGGCGGGATTAATTCTTCCCAGTTAAGTAATGAGTACACCAAGATTTAAAGGAGTTAACCAACCTTCTGGCTCTTTATACAGATGTAAATAGCTACAGGGAGCCGTGGCTGGTATAGGTGCCCACTGCTAAGGAATGCAAGTAAAGGCACGTCTTTCAGCTGATCATGGGATGCACAGTGGGAGTACCTAATATTTTTAATAAAAAATAACTGCAATTTATTGAGCACACTATTCAAATACTTTGCTATGTAGTTTACATGAATTTCTAAGGAAATTTAAGAGGGGAGTAGTATCCCCATTTAGCAGTTAGGCAGTGGACAGGCTGTAACTCAAAGCCAGGGCTCATTAACTCCCAAACCCTTTTCTTCTGACGACAGACATGTTCTGTTCACTTTAACTAGGTTGTTTTTAAAGTGGAGAGGTGGCTTGTTTCTTCCTCTGGTCAGGAGGTGTTCTGAAGTTCTGTTGCTCCTGTATACAGCATCGGGAAGCCCAGGGGAACTTACTCTGGTACCCTCTAGACCTGAGGGTACAGTGCTGTTCATGGGGCTCTGGAACTGAGCCCTCTCACTTCCACGTACTCTAAGCCAGTACCACTGCTTCTCCCTACCCGAGCCCTGTGCAGCTTTCCCTCCCCTAACCTCCTCCTTCAGTGGCTGCCTCCCTGGAAGGGGCCTGTAGCTCAGAACAGCCATGCTGTGTAGCAGTGGGCTGGAGGTGCTTGCTGAGGGCGAATAAGGGCAAAGGATAGCACTGTGCCCTGAGGCGTCTTTTCTCACACAGCAGTCTGGTCATTTGAGTAGTGCATTATGACAGGAGCAAAACAGACACAAACGGAAAGTGAACTGAGCTGATTATGGGAGCCTGTTGCCTAGCTACCGGCCGGAGCTGTTCCTGTTAAGTCAGGTCCCTGGCCTGGGATGCTCATCTCTGCTCTGTACATTGTGGCTGGTCTATGGGCAGCTGCTGTCATGGTTCTATTGCCATGGCCTCAGTTGCGGGTAGAGGGGCAGGCTGGTCCTGTCCTCACTTACCTATTACCTACCACCTAGGCAAAGTAAGAACCTCACCAACAGGCAGGTGAGGGACCACTGCACAGCTTGAGGAGGATCAAAGGGACTTGGATAGTGTCTACAACTATAAAATCACACCTTTCTCCTTTGCTGAGGGCAGACAGGAGGGTCTGGTGAATGGGGATTCAGGACACACTTCCTTGGCCCTAGCATTGGGCTGACTTTAACTCTGTTAGTATCCCTATTCCAGATTTGGTGGTTGCGCGTCACCGAGTCAGTTCAGCTCATAGCAACTATGTATGGGCTGTAAGTCTTTATGGGAACAGAAAGTCTATCTTACTCTTGTGGAGCAAGTGGTAGATTTAAGCTACTGACCTTGTGGTTAGCAGCCCAGCTCATAATCTTCTACTGTACCAAGGCGCCTTTATTTCAGATTGTCCTGCAAAACCAGTTCCTGGATTGAGTTTTTCCACAATATTTCTCTTCTGAAGTAGCCCATAGCATCCCCAACTTTCCCCAGAGCGCAATTAGAGCTAGTTTTAACTTCTGTTCATCATCCACAATGTGTAAGGTGCTCTAACTCGTGCCTTCTAAATAGCTCCTTTATCCATGTAAACCAGGGATTACTAATCTCAGTTTACAGTAAAGGAAACAGAGACACTTGCTCAAGGTCACACTGCTAATGGTAGACTAAGAGTAAACTCAGGTCTTATGAATCCAAGTGTGTGCCTTAGCCTCCTCTTCTGGTATCTCCTGCTTAGAGGGCACCCCTCAGCAGAGAGACAGAGATGAGTGGAGATGTCTCTTTCGTCTCCATTCTCTTCCTAGTCTTTCATTTATTTCTTTCCCTATAGATTTAAGCTCAGGTATCCTTAGTCCCTAAAATTACTCAAGTCTGAGTTCTTCTTTCTTTTTTACTTCATGATGGAATTTTCTTAGGAAAAAAGAAAAAAAGAGGCTTGGTTAGCAGAGGGATGAAACCAAGACTTTCTAGGAAAGAAACCCAGAGCTTCTAAAGCCCCTTCTGTAGCCCCTCTCCCCTCCTGCCCAGTATTGCCTTGGACTCAAAGAGCCTTGGGGACCAGCCAGGGTGACCATAGCTGACTTCTGAGTGAGGGCCAGGGCTTGCTGATGCTATGCCATGAGGGATAGTGAGCTGGGAACCTGAGCCCAGGAAGCTGGGTGCCCTCCCCCTCCCCCAGGAGGGCAGCACCTCTGCCTCCTTCCTGGGAAGGAACCTGCCCTGAAGCAACCCAGTTTCCTCCTGAGTTTGTTTTGTGTTTTTCTGTCTTGTTCTGGAACAGACCAGCATTTGCCTCTGAACATCTTGTCTCCAAATGATGAGGTGTTTTCTGTTTGTCATCATTTGGGGTGGGGTGTGGAGTCGGGGAGAATAAAATAAACTTGGGCTATTTTGGAAAGTGAGGGGAAGAGCAGGCAAGATCATAATGAAACAGATGGGC